GTTGGTAGAGGGTAGCTGCTCTTTCGGGTGCAGCGCGAGAGTCGACCAGTCAGTGCGTCGTCAGCCTCCGCGTAGTCGCGATACTTCTTCTTCTTCGTCCCTTTGTCTCTTTCTGTCTCTCTCTTTTTCTCTCTATTTTTCTCTCGCGTCGTCATCGTCGTCTTCGTTGTCATTTTTCATCCTTTTGTATTTCCCATCTTTTTTTCTCTCTTCCTTTCTCTCTCTCTCTTTCTCTTTCTCTCTCTGTTTCACTCTGTTTCACAATTTTATTTTTTTCTCTCTCCTGTAAGGGTGATATTTTTTTTTCAAAAGGTTAATCCTATCTATTCATCGATCATATTCACATTCATAGTTTTTCCCGTTATTCCTATTTCCTTTTCTTTTTTTTTTTTTTTTTATTATTGTTTACTTTTGTCATTTTGACGGTGCCATGCGTTGTTCGGAATTATTAAAAAAAAAAAAAAAAACAAGCGGACAAGGAAAAATTGAGAATGATCGAAAATTATGCGTAAAAAAGTAAAGGGAATTTTTGTATTGTTAGTTTAACGAGTGACTATTCACGTTCGGATTAGTGAGGAATTTTAAACTGTGTTTTCGAAGAAAACAAAATTAGAAGATCTAGCAGCGGAAGAAGAAGAAGAAGAAGAAGAAGAAGAAGGAGGAAAAGGCCAGCAATGTATTTTGAATGTTGGTTGTGTGGTTATACTTTGATTTTATTTTTTGGGTTTCGTATAGTTTGTTTGAAAGATCTAAACATTTCTGGAATATTGTGCTCGTGCAAAAGAAAATTTCATGTGTTAGGATATTAGACGAGCTATAATTTAGGATCGAAACAAATTGCAAGTTATTAGAGACATATAAAAATAAAGAAAAAGATGAGGAGGGGGGGAGGAGGAAAAAGAAAAGATTTTCTCGATTGACCGAAGTTATTCTGTGTCTTTTGTGAATTGGTCAAACTGAACGGTCTTTTCTTTTCTTCTGGGGGGTACGTGTCAAGATTCGGTAAAAGCAACGTTTCAAGAGCTTCGGCTTTTACCACCGCGACCTTGAGTATTATTATACTCAAAGTACAAGTTATTTCTTTCGTCCCTTTTTTTTATTTTTATTTTTATTCTTATTCTTTTGCTCGTGAACTATATACGTGATAATTAAGATTGATATTATATGATCACGCGAGAGTAAAAGGATACACGACCTTGAACGAAACAAAATCAAATCTTAAAATGAATATCTTCAAAATGTTCTATTAAAATTAATAATGATAACTTGTTGTATATTTGATGTTTTAGTTGTTTCATTGATATATGAAGTATTCTTTTTTTTGTTGTTTTTTAATTGAATAGTAGTTATAACTTAAAATAAATTTCGACACGTTCAATCGTCTCGAAGTTCTCGTCAAATTTGGAGTTCGTCATCGTTAGAAAAAAAAAAAAAGTATCTTTAAGTACTAGGATCGTAACCTTTTGAAAGAATAAAAGATACTTCGAAGCGAAGAAAAAGTAGAATAAAAAAAAAAAAGAACTCGGAAGCAGGAGGAGCGTTAATTGCGATCTCCTACGGTGGCGTTCTTTTTCTTATATATATATATAAAAAAAAAAAAAAAATACACACTCACACGCACATACACACACAAAAGAGGAAAAATATATTGGACGAAATGGACCGTCCTATAAAAAAAAAAAAAAAAAGGTAAAATAAAAATTTATCTTCGTCCCTTAAAACATCTTCCGGAAGTCGATCGTATATTTCTTTGGCGAGGTGAAAGCCGTGTTTTGTTAGGTCACCCTGCCCATTTATTATCCTCGTAGGCATATTGCCAGGGATTCATCGAATTTCGATAAAAGGGAATATTATGACGTATCCCGAGGTCGTTATATTTTAACAAAGAACGATACTACTACTATTACTACTACTACTACTACTACTATTCTACTGTAACTGCTAGCAATGAGATACCGAGTTTAAAGCGACACGCATTAAAATGATATATCCATGACGTTTAGTTCGTAATGTCGAATTAGTTTATAACAGCGATTTAAACAAAACAGGGTAGTATATGTGGGGCTCAAAGCAACATGAACCTATCTCTGTAATTCGAACTGTTCTCGGATTTGAAATTATTTGATATATTTATCAACCTTTTCAATGAAATAACAGAAAATTATTCGAATTATTAGTCGAGAAATTAATTACCGATTAATTCTATTCAATAGAATTGTAATCGAAAATCACGTAGCTAATCAAATTACGTTTGAATTGGTTTTTTTTTTCCTTTTTTATACGTATGCTCTTTTATTTTCTTTTTTGTTTGTAAATCGTATCGACACAACATTATTGTTCTTATACATGAATACATCAACGTGTAAGTTGAAAGGAATCTTTTGAATCTCTTTGGACCATCCTCAAAAGAGGAATGAAACGACCAAGTTGGATTAACGTACGCTATCAAATAGATTAAATAGACAAGATCGTGTTCTTATCATTTGAATGAACTTGAAAATGGAATATTTTGTTTTAGTTTTTTTTTTCTCATCATCATCGTTATCATCATCGTCATTTTTGAAATTGTTTTAGTATCGATTTAGATAAAGAAAAAATTATATTATGTGTCGATAAAATGATATTACGGTGTACATAAAAATGTCTATTAAAATATTTAATTATAGTTCTCTTTCTCGTATTTCTTATAATAGTATAAAGAAAATGATAATCATCTTTTTTTTTTTTCCGAATAGATTTAAGAAATTTACGATGAAGAAGAGAATTGAATCATGGGATCGATTTTTTGCTATTTTAATTTATTTGTTCGTTAAAAATGTAGATGTTAAAAAATTTGGATTTGTCGCGAGTATTGAAATAAACGTATTGAGTTCTTTTTTATTTTCTCTCTTTTTTTTTTTTTTTTTATATAAACAAGAAACACTTTGGTTAAGAAAATAATTAGTAATTTTATTGTGTTAATTAAATGTAGCAGCAGGCAGGTTTTTTTTTTTTTTCTTCAAAAGATACAACGTTTTTTAATGCTACCTAAGTGGTACTTAAACAAAACAAAAAATAAATAAATTTAATAAATGATCATTCACATTTTTTTTTTTTTATTATATTTTGGGATAAGAATAAAATCATGATTTTCTTGAAAAAGGCTTCTTTGATTTTTTTTATTATTCTTTTTTTTTTTTATAAAAAGATACACCCCGTTTCCTAATTTTATGTAAGTGGTAACTCATTAAAAAGATAGAAAGAAAGAAGGAATAAAGCAATGAAAAAAAAAAAAAAAAACAAAAAAAAACAGGGCCGTTCACAGAAAGTTCATTATCTAAAAGTTTACTTTTATGAAAAGACGAATGTTTGTACAAAGTGAAAATTTTAAATATTTCAGTTTCCCTACAAAAGAGAACTTCTGTTAACTTCAATTTATACGTCAAAATAATGAACCGGGATTTCTTTGTTAAAATGTATATGTTGTTGTTGCTTACAGTTTGTTATTACCGTTATTATACTGATGATAATAACTATGATTATTTTCCCGGGGTTTTTTTTTTTTTTTTTTTTAACTGAATTTCATTCAATAGATAAAAGATATCTGGTAGTAGAAGAAATCATGAATGTTGCTCGTTAAGAGATACCTCGAAGGATTGAACGAATTTTTAATATTTAACGGATAATAATAGAAAATTGCATGATGACAGACCGTATGAAACGATATTCGAGAATGTGACGTATTTAATATGTTAAAGGGAACAATTTTCTGAAGAAATAAAACGCGTCATCAAAGAAATGATCTCTTCGTTCTCATATCTATACAATTGTCAACGATCAGATCCAATCCGTTTCTCTCTAATTATCTCATCAAATTGATTCCAACAAACGTTAAACTTAAAACAGATAGACTTAACTTAAAAAACAGATAGACAATGATTATTATTATTACATTAAATAATTTTATTGGAAAAGTTATTAGGAATAATTTGTATGAATTTTGGTTCATTTAATTTATGACTTTTCAAAGTTGTGCTTACCTAGCTATGCCAAATTATAAGTTGCAATAAATTTGCCATGACCAAACTAAAAGTTTTATGGACAAAAATAATACGTTCAAATTGATAACAAGTAAAACACAAGGGAAAGATTTAATATTAATTTTGTAAAAATCATCTCTTTCTTTATTTATGATAGTAATTACTTTTTACTACACACCACTATCTCATCCCATTTACTTAATTACATATCAAATTTTTATATATTTTTTTTTTTAACTGAACAATATTTAATAATTATAATATGATAAATGTGAATTCAAGATAGTAAATGTGATCTGACATCGAGGCCCGTGCATTTTGAAAATACCTGATTGAAATCATCGAAATGATTTGCATTTAAAATGCAACGAGATTTCAGTTGATAGTCAAGAAGAAAATGAAAGACGGATAATGATCGATAGATAGATAGATAGATACATAAATAAAGATAAATGTACTCGTGTTAGTATTACGTTGGTTGATATTATTCTCTTTCTAAAGAACCTTTAGATGGATAGCTGTTCGATCAAGGAATTATTCGCACGAGCGATAACCACCACTCCTTTAGGCTATCAGTTTTCGATTAAGGATATTCCTTTGTTCGAACGATTCTATGGGAAAGGAAAATTCATTGAAGTTGAAGAACTCGTTCGACGATGTTGCTATGCATGTTTTAATAAATTTAACAAATTTTCTAATTCCAATTTTTTTTTGTTTTTTCCCCCGACAAGTTTATAAGTTTTTTCAATTTTTCTTCATATTTATTCGTGCAAATATAATTAAATGAATAAAATATAGGGTGGCGTAAACAAGCACATTGGAAATTTTGGAATCAATGAAAACGTCAAGTTTTAAACAAATTTTTAATTTTATTCATTCTATTTTTATAGTTTCAGTCGAAAAGATGTGCCTCACGTTTAGAAAATAATCTTATTATTGTATATATCGCAAAATGTATGCACTGAGAAATGTTCATTATCACACGATAAATATCTGACAAGTTGAATTTATCAAATTTGATCATTCATTATCATTTCAAATGATTTTTTATTTATTTATTTATTATTGAAAAAAAAAACGAAATTATTTTCCAAACAACTTGATAAATATATATTTCTAATTGTCTGTCTGCAATGTAGAAAAATTTTCGCCAAATAATTATGTCATTAACTGCAGCTGCGGTTATGGAATGCACGATGCAAATGCGATTGGCATACGTGTACTAGTAGTTATCTATTAAAATATTATTAACGATGTGGAGATCATCGTTAATGGCATTTTCGTTGATAGCCAAAACTTCCTTGATTAATAGGCATGTTACATTTAATATATATATATATATATGTGTATGTGTATGCACAGTACGATATACATTTATAATAAAGGAATTTAAACGTATGAGTTGAGTGTTTAAATGAGTTTCGAATGATTCATACTGATAACCATACTGATAACACATTAATCATTGAAGAGTTTATCTCGTATTGTTTGTAGTGCAATATATATATATATACGCGTGTTCATTTTCAATCGAGATCAAAGGTCAAGCAGGTCATCTTGTCTGTTCGATGAACGATCCATTGCCTGATTCTGTTCTTTCGTTTCAGATGACAAAGTTACTTACGTCCCTTGTAATATAACAGTAGATGTGGTTTGAGCGTAGAGTAT